TGTGCAAGTCACCGTCCCTGTTGTGAACCACAGAGTGGACATGGTCAGAAACGACAGCTCGGGTGGGTGGTGAATTCACGATGTTGTTGGGACTCTCGCGTGAGAGTAAATGGTTTCGCTGTAATAGGCTACTGCCTCTTAAAATTTAAAAACCCGGTTGAGAAATAGCAGAGGTTGTCAGCCATACCAGATGGTTGCATGTTGGGTTACGTCGGGGTCACCCTTTCGTTGCGTGTAAAAGGTGTGCGTGTGTATGTTTAGAGCACTACAGACGTGAGTAGTCTATTGCACCAGTCGGCGGATGACATACGACAGCAGGTAAGTCACAGACGACCATCTTGTCGGCGAGGCAACCGATCAACTCAAATTCGGAGAACTCCACTGGCTTGGCGACCAGAAGACTTACATGATAGAAACTGAGGGAAACTGTCCCATTGCTCAGTGGTATATGATCGAAAAAAGTACTCGCAACTGCATGCAATTTAACTATACCAAAGCCGCATGCAAGTGCATGGTGCCGTTTCTCCGACGCAGCGTGTTTTGGCATGAAAATTAGCGATCTCTGCTAACATTCGAAATAAGCGTACCATCTTCCTAAGCTTCATATAAACCGAACCTCCACTAGTAGTGACTGTAGGGTTAATCAAGTGGCTCTTTTATCCAACACACAGACGAACTGGTCGCCGAGAAGGAGAAGTACAAGGCTCTCAGCGAGGAACTGGAGTCCACCTTCGCAGAACTTACTGGCAACTAGACGAAAGCCGGCAAATTTCTACTCTAAGCAGAAGCCCCTTTTCCGCAATTATCGAGCCGGACAGATGCGGGAAGTGGGCATTGTTTTTAAGTTCTGTCCTCAGCTATCCCTCCTTTCCTCCCTTGCCCCATTGCAGCCCCTTTTCGTCGACGATGCGGGCTTTTTCCTCATCCACATGGTTCTGCGCCGCAGCCTGATCACTGTCTTCGCGGGCTTTCCCTCCGTCTTTTCTTCCTCCTCCTCCTACATAGATCTTTTGCCTTAGTAACTATCCTCTCACATACTCCCAGCATCTTTCTTCACCCCGTTTTCTCCTCTAGGCGGGTTTCAACAGAATCAGATAACTTTATGCTACACTCATATATTGTATTTGCGGAAAGGCGTACGCTGTACTGTGCGAGGGTTTTTATCTCCAAACTTATAAAACAAAGCCTCCGTCGTCCGTTGTTTTCTTTTTTTGTTTAGTGCGGTTCGTCAACTTCTGCGTCCGGCGAGCCAGCTGCTCTCACGGTCTATAGGAAACCTCAACTTCTGTCAGTGCATTCTCCCTTGATGGTATTGCCACGGAGTAGGCTGATGGCAGTTCGATGCGTCCGATGACCGAAGTCTTGGCTGAAGAGCACGCATATCTCAGGTGTTATTTGATAGCCGAAAGGTTTCCGCCCAGTGTGGCGGGTTAAGCACCAGTCCGCGTGTTCATAGAAACGAGTCGGTCGCAGTGGGTTAAGTAACTGGGTAAAACCCTTGTCTATGCGATTTTCAGGCCCGATTCCCTGGGGGAAGGGAAGAAAAGAGAGGCCAGGTGGAGGGAATAGTATCTTCTGTACAGAAGTACTGAATAGTAGGTAGTTAGTGCAGTTCGTCAACTTCTGCGTCAGGCGAGACGGCTGCTCTCACGGTCTATATGAAACCTTAACTTCGGTTACTCCAGTCTCCGGATAGTCTTATGAGATTTCGATGCTTCCGATGGCCAAAGTCTTCGCTGAAGAGCACGCATATCTTAGGAGTTATTTGATCACCGAAAGGATTCAGCCCAGTGTGGTGGGTAAAGCACCAGTCTTCACGTTGTTTGCTCGTGTTCATAGGGACGAGACCCTCGCAGTGGATTAAATAGATGGGTCAAAACCTTGTTCCTCCGATCTTGAGGTCCGGTTCCGTAGGGGAAGGAGAGAAATGAGACGCCAGATGAAGGAAATAGTGTATTCTGCACACAGGCAGTAGCGAATAGGTAGGATGAAGTCGACTGTTGGAAGAGCGTGCGCCTGCATCTGAGCCGGGCAGTGTCCGAAGTGTTTGAGCGTCTACAGAGTGGTCTTTGTGTGAGTCATCCTTGAAGGTGATTGGTCAGACCCGGGGAGATAGGCATTAGTGAATGCGCACTTGCTAGCAGCCGTGGGATGCAAGCTTTGCGCGCAGTTTGCGGCCGTCATATAGGCAGGTCGAGAATTGCAATCGCGTGACCTCATGCGCTGCGTAGCGGGGAAGATGAAAAGCGCAACAGGATGATTACAATTTTGTGGACTTGACCTGTTTTGGGCGTGGATTTGTTTTGAGTCGTTCTGGTACTCAGGCATTACACGAACTGCAGGGGTTTCGGGAAAGCCCTAAGACCGCAGCCAATAGTGAGAGCCTGTCGACAGCATGCAGTCAGCACGCAAGGGTAAACGCTTACATGCCTTGCGTTGAGATTAACTGACTCTGGGCATGCGGGCATTCACAATAGATGTTTATGTTGTGATTTGGCCAGTGTTGAGCTGCAACCGATGGTCTTTGGATCATGCATTTATAATGTGCTACAACAGTAGATAGCCCATGGGAGTACTTCTACTGAGCGAACAGTTCTTCAGCCCTCGGTCTGTTGTTATTTTACCTTTCGCGCAGGGCTTACTTTGTCCAGTATAAGCGTCTAAGCATCGTTTTGCTCTGATGAAGTGTTCCCGGTGCTGGGCGGCTGACTTATTACTCTGGCTGACGTACCGCGATGCCTTTTGGTTCTTTGAACAAGTGTGCGGACATAACTGCTTTAGTCAGACCTAATGGTTGCTAGGAAAATCCACACTGACCTGGAATCACTGGCGTTGCTAGGCAAAACACCTCGCATACAACTGCGGTCACCAGTGCGTTAAGAGAGCGGTTGGTTTATCGCAGGGGATTTAAGTGAGTTAAACCCTAGCAACTGCGATCTTCAAACCATGGTTCCTTAGGAGAGAAATCATGGGAAGGCCAGAGTACTAAGAAT